CAATATTATCTATAAATTTTATATATTTCCAATGTTTTCTTGATAAATCCCACAATAAAGAATTTTTCTTATTTCTTAGATATGTTAGATTTTTTCATTTGAATCGTAGGCAACGATATAAAAATTTTTAAAAATGCCTCTTTTTCAATATCATTCTTTTCATAGTATGTATTAAATAAATTAATATCTACTAGATAATTTATGCTGATTTCGCTTCATTACCACCATATAGACTCTTAAGATTTTGTGTGCTCTCTAAATTAAAAACATTTCTTAATAAATTAGTATTATGGTCGTCAGTAGTGTTAAAATCAAATATTTTTCTATGAGATATGCAATAAGCCAGTTGTGTTTTTTTTAAATATGCCACCACTATCATATCTGGTTTGTATTTTAATTCAAAATTAATAATTGGGTTTTGGAATTTTGAAAATTTCCATCATTGAAATGAAATTTATGATCATTAATGGAAGCAATATTGCATAATTCATTGGTCAAACCCGATACTAATATTTCAAATTAGTTTATGTTCATTCCATTTGGTGATTTGTTCTATTTTGTTTGGTAAAATACCTCTAAATGCACTAAATCCCAATAATTTTTCTAGTGGAACAAGTAAGTAATTGAATATATTTATTTCATTATCACAATTAAAATCCATATGGTAACTCTTTTAGTTTTTGTAAATATCCCATAATTTTTGCAAATAATTTGGTTGTGTTGATGAAGGGATTAAAGCTAACATATGGATATTCTGCCAAAAGTTCAATGGTCTTCTTAAAATTCTCTTCTGTATGTTTTCCGATAATTTCTAAATTTGGCAATAAATTTCTTAGCTTCTCTTCATTGAACTTTAAAATCTGTTTGAATTTATTCATATCATTTGGAAAATGTTCATTAATAATAATATCCATTAGACTAATATTATTAAATTTCTGATTATATGTTCGATTATGTTCTTTCCAAACATTGAAGAAATCTATCAATTTGTTCAAATATATTTTAAAGGGGCTTTCTTCTTTCCAAGAAAAATCGTTCAAAACTGAAATTAAATCTGCAGACAAATTATAATCACTGCATGATGTTAAATTAAATCCATCAAGACCATATTCTTATTTTGGTTGCAATCATAAAATGTAATATTTGTATTAATGATTTTATTTGAATTTATAGTATCACTATCCTCCAGAGAAAATGGTACATCATAGGCCTCTAAAAATTTCTTAACGATATATTACTGGAAGAAAATTCAATTGTTGATGATTCTGTACCACCATGGTATAACACTCATTCTTTCTACTAGATAAATTTCGTAATCTGTGTTTTATTTTCAAATAATTTTGTAAAAAATTAGCTCGTTTGGCTTCAAAGCTGTCTTGTATATGGTATCTCTGTAATTTCAAAAGTCGTTTATTGAGCCATTTCTTGAATTAAATTTCTCTAAATAAAAAAATATCATATAAGGAAAGACATAGATTAATAATGATTACGAATGAAAGAGGATTTATTTCAAACAATGATTTTTAAATAGTTCAAGTTATTAAATTTTATCAGAAGGCTAAATCAATATTAAGTATATTAATTCACAATTTACAACGGAAGACAAACACATTTACGAAATCAAACAAAATATTGATTTGTAAATAAATTTGATTGGCTCTGATTAAATCAAATCACGTTTTCAATGATTCATTCAAAATATCAGAAATATTATCATATGAATTTTCTTAAAATTATTATCTCAATAGGTGCACGTGATGCAACCACGAACTCAAGTAACATGGAATTCTTTCATTATGATAATAAACAATTTAAACAAACTTACTTCAATTACATTACTAGCTTTCTGGAAATCTTCTTGAAGAAGGCACTGATTCACAAGACTTTGTGGAGGTGATAACAGAATGTTTATACATTCATCTGAAGAATCAATTCTAAAATTATTATTTATAAGCTTTAGCATAAAGACGAATCAATATATTCAAAGTACTATATTGATCAAAACTGAATATTTATTTGCATACCTAATTTCTGAATCTTTTCCTGATGAGGATTTATAAGTTCCAACAAATGATTTTTATTCTTTCTACCATAGTGTGATAATAATTCTTTACGCCAAAAAGCATTTTCCACATATTCAGAGATTTTAGAAAAGTCTTCATTACATAGTAATTGTTCATTCTTCTGACTTTGTGAAAATTTTGTTTTGGTAATATTGATGAATTTTCGAAGTAATGGTAAATAAGCTTCCACAAATTCCAAAGAACAAACAAATTTATCTTTTTTAAGCACATTGCACAATGATTCACATTCATTTTCATCATCTGTAAATGACTGCCACGATACATCTCCAAATTTCACAAATAATATTGAAAACATGTATTTTAAAACTTTTATACATAATTCTAAAGAATTCAATTTATAAAATAGTTTTTCAATATCTGCCAAAACTGTTTCCAACAAAAGACATGAATTATGTAAAGGCAAAATGGCTTGAACACTTTTAGTGATTATAACATAAGCAGTGTATAAATCTTCTTCCCAAAAATATGATGATTTAAAACATTTTAATTGTAAATTTCTGTTTGTTTGTAATAAATTCATTATTCTATCATATTCCAAAGTTTGTAATTTGCACATATCATTCAAGATGTATAGCAGGCTCTTTTCATGTATATCTTTAAATAAATTATCTTTATCTTTGAGGCTATTTTCATAACAAAATCGTGCTATTGATATTTTTCTGTATAGTTCTTTACAATAGCAATAAATAAATGTTTGTTCTTCACCTGACTTTTCCAGTTGACTTACTAACTTCTCAAGAGGGTGAAAGTAGTTTACGCTTATTTCTTCATCTGATATCGATAACATAACCAAATGCAATAATTTTCCATTTAACGTGTCCATTAACTCAGTGCTAGAAATCTCATTTTTTTTAAAATCCATTGATAATATTTATTATCCAATGAACATTATTCAGAAACATTTTATGAAGATTTGTAATAATAATCAGAGCTGTCATTCAATTCATAATTTAAAAAATTTATAATGTTTTCATGTGTATTTGAGATAATAATGTTAAATATATATCATGAATTTTAGTTTTTTCTTCTCTTATAAGGCGTTGTATATGATAATAAATTTGTTTATATTGTTCTGTATTCCTAATATTTTTACTTTGGAGAAACGATAATAAACACAAAAGATTATCAACAGTACAATTAGCATCACTTTCTAAATTATTTGCTACGTCAAGAAACACATCTTCATATATATTATCGAGAACATTAGTTTGGTCATTTTCTGGAAATTCTGATTTTAATATATTAATTATAATACTTGTATATTTTGGACATATTTTCAATTCATTTCGAAGAACTTCAATATTTTGTTTTGATAAAGACAATGTCTGTTTTTCAATCAGCTGCTTATAGATATGAATCAAATCCTAAAAAGAAGATATATGATATGAAATATTTCTTATTTTACTGACAGCATAATAGAAACTTACATTTTTTATTAAATCAATGTTCGTTGAAAACGTAGATATATATCTAACAATATCTGTAAAATCAGATATTTTACTATTATTCATATTATAATAGGAATATAAATCTTTCACAAACACGCTCAAGACTGCAACGCATAGCAATTTTCTTTTATTGTCTGTCGATGGTACAATTTAAAATTCGACCTATGACTAATAGTTCATAATGATTTATCGCCATAACAAATCTAAACGTAATCAAAGTTATTGTCATTATCGCATTCTAAATATATATCTCTCACATGTACTTTGAAATGTCATTTGTCAAAACTAGTAAAGTTTGATTTTGATTCTGCCATATTTGTAAATGCAAGAATACTAATAGCGCACCATAGATGTCACTTCACCATAGATGTATTTAATCATAGATAAAAGAAGAGTACAATCTTGCATGTTTACTTATCTATGCTTGCTTGTTCATGTGCGTTCGTTAGGTGTGGATGTACCTCATACCTCAAGCCATCTGCTTGCTGTTGTCCACAATAACTTAAAAACTGTCAATTCTTAACCAAAGATAATCTTGGGCTGTCAAGTGAAGCGAATTATGAAGGTTATGTCCATTATATTGTCTAGGGTTATGTCCTTTCTGTACTAATGTACTAATTTTATTCTCCTTTTGTAACATTTTATCTGAATATTGTTTTCGCATCGAGTATAAACTGGTATCACTTTCATGATTAAAAACTAGTAACTATAATGAGTCATTTTGCAACTCTTCAGTGTCGAAAATGCAGAGCTGTATTGTACGAAAACGAATTCCGTTTTCGATGGACATGGAGCAAAAATAAATAAAAATAGTGAATCAAACTGCAAAACAGCCCTTGACAGATTTTGTTTTCATGAAGAAAATCTTTCAAGTTGGATGCTTTCTGCTATTGAAACTTCCCAGTGGACTAAAGGAAAAATTAACTGCCCAAAATGTGGCATTAAAATAGGTTCATTTGATTTTGTATCACGAAATAAATGTGAATGTGCTGAATATGTAATACCTCCAATTTATGTTATTAAAAGCAAAACAGATATATTATTGAAGTAATTAGGAGAAATTATAAAATGCAATTTTCTCATAAAAGATTTATTATTTTTAAAGTGTTTTCTTTTATACCCGGTCAAGTTCTTCTATAAATAGTCGGCATTTATTCTTAAGAACTCTTACAGCTTCAATAAAAATTACTTCAGGTCTCAGAGCTCCTGCAGATTCAATATTAACTGAAAAAAAAAGTTTAAAGCCATTACACATATTTAAAATTTATAGGCTAGTACTAATGATTTAAAATTAATGCACTTCTTTGGTATGTTTAAAGTCTAACCATAATTGCAAGTTGGTGTGTTAAATTTTATTAACAATTCAGTAATAGTAGCGTTGTTTTAAAATTCTAATTGAAGTATAAATAGTTTGTATTAAACTCACATATATAATGATCACGAACTCTACTCATAATAACTGCATCAGCTAGGTTTGGATATCTATATACATTCCTGCTGCATGTATCATATCTGGCATCTTTTACAAAGGCTGCTTTATTTCCATCTTCAGTTTTATGAATTTCTATAACACCAGGAGAAAAACATTTCTGCAGCAATTGAGCTTCATCATTTAAAACTGGCCGAGTTAAATAAATTTCTGGCAGCAATCTATAGAATGCTGTTGCTGAATTACAAAATAATTTTTAGCATCGTTTTTGTAAGTAAAGTAAATCATCATTGTAGTAAGCTTTTAAATATATTTTAATAAAGTTAGGCAAAGACCTTAAATTATAAAATAAATAAAATATTAATTTTTTACAGTAATAATAATAAACAATATTGAAACATTTACATTCTAGTTTATAAGCAATTTGAATGAATTACAGAAGTATGCTTGAAATAAACAAGTATTTAATATATTTGAATAAACATACCTACTGGAGAAAACTTTGCATGATCTTTACCAACACCCTTAACAGCCAACAATTTTAAGTCTATTTCATGCCCTGGCCTCATTTTACTTATTAATATATCATTTTCTACAGGTCCTACATCCTCAGCAGAGTAAATAGTATTTTGAGATCCCTTGGGAATCCATTTGATCATGCCAGAATATACTAATAATAAAGATTTTATAGTTTTTGTAAATATAAAATGAATATCAGCAATGTGACCAATACATACCATTGTGATTGTTATATAAATCTTCAAATCGAATAGAATCATTTTGGTTACTTGTCTTCTTGGTGCATTTAACTTTGAGCTCAAATTCTAAAGTATCACGTTCTGTTCCTTCATCAGATTCTTGAAAAAAAAAGTAGAGAAATCAATAATAAATAAATAATTAAATGCAAAAGTTTTATATAGAACGTATTTCTCATATTTTATATTAGACATTTCAGTTTTTATCTGAAAACTTATCCGTACATATATACTATATACTACTACAACATATTTAAATAATAAGTTAATTGTGTTCATAACATTGTTTTTCCTACTTATAGTTTTGTTTTAAATTTTATGTTGTTTTGAAAGTTTTATTAGTTATACACAATAATTGTTGTTTGTCATTGTTATTTAAAACTATTTTAAAGTATTCACATCAAAGATGAATAAAATCAACTCTCAACAGAAATTCAACGCAAAGCTAAGTATGCTCATTAAAAACAATATAAAATGAAATTATGTAAAGTTTTTGTGATTGTAAATCTGTAAAAAACCCACTTAGCTAGTGAAACTAATTGGTATTAGAGAAGTAAAAAGTATAAAAATTATATATAGAGTTTCATTTTAAATTTATGGAAACTCCATTATATATATAGCAAACATTATAATTTAGAAGTAGGATTTTAATAAGCCTAAAATACCTTCTGATTTATATTCAAATAGTCTAGGATCTGCTCTTAAAGGAATAAGACCTAAACGATGAGCCAATACTTCATCTTGTATTATAGATGTATTATTATATATATAAACTTTTTCTATAGCCATGGTTGGCACTTCACTTAACATTAATCTTCGAAAAGCATTAGCAATAGCTGGTCTCACTCCGATCATATCAAATTCCATTTCCAATGCTTCCATTCGAACGATGACAATTTTTAAATCAGATTTAAATTTTTTAAAACTCCATTGTTCATCATCAAATCCATAATCATTTGCTGCTTGCTAAAACGTATAGATGTTACAAAAGTGTTAACACTTTTCCTTGATTGGTTTAACTTACTTTTAACTTATGTTCTTCTAAAAAGCTCCTTGGCTTTTGATCAACATTCATGTTGTTTTTAATTATGATATATAGATACCCCCTTATTGTCTTAAGTCTCTAGCACTTGATATTGAAATATCAAAGGCTTGTTAATTGATGACTTACTGATTGAAAAACAAAATTAGTTGCATGTTGCATTAAATATCTGTAAGAGGTTATGGAGGTTATTAAAATACGTTTATCGCTCTTATCTATCTTTACAACCAGTTTATATTTCTTTTATCTGGGATTGCAACCATGCCCAATCCCTTTGTTTATTTATCTATGCCAAATCTGACAAAAAGAGCCATAAACTTTACCTGGCAACACTTTTAGGGTGACAGCACATTGCAGTGTGCCAACATGTTGGTACCCTCAATATTTAAAGTGCCTAACTTCACATAGTACATTTTGTACAAAATATTTGAAAAAAAAAACTAACCATACATTTATATATGTGCACTATGTAACAGATCTGTCAAAAAATAGTTATATATTTCTTTAAATTGATAAATTTAATAAAAAAGATGTCTGTTAAACAAAGTGCTGAAAAAGCATTGTCGATGCTTAGGAATTTACCTCGAGTGTCTTTAGCAAATTTAAGAGATAATCCTGGAACCAGAAGACAGGTTAGCTTATTTAATTTCTTTCTTTTCTATTCTTTCATTTTTTATTAATTAAATTCATATAATTTTCATTTAGAAACGACGTGGTCGCGCTCAACACGGTGGTGACAAGCATGGAGCAGGAAATAAAGGTTCCGGCCAGCACCAGAATTACATGAGATTAGGTTATGAAACTGGAAACAATCCATTCTATTTAAGAGTATCACAGGAACCATACTATCGGGGACACCAGTAATATATGACATTATCTTAATTACGTTAGAAATATAGTGATCAACTGTTTATCATGCTATAAAGTCTGACTTCAACTTCCATTGAAATCAAATGGTGATATGAAGGCAGGAATCGAGAAGAAATTACATTATTTCTTATGATATATACATTCTTATCACAACTATTCTTGTGATATATGTACATGCTACAATAACATAATTTTTATTACTTTCAACTTCAAGTAAATATTATTTCCTAGAATATTTAAAAAAATATATTCTTTTTGTTGTTAATTATTTGATAAAAGATAACAGTTCATCATTTTAATATAGTTTTAACATCATATACATACTCTTCTGCCTTTATATACATTAATTCTTGTATTTTCAGTCTTCGCCGGCAATATCCTCCTCTCTCGCTGCTGCAACTACAAACGATGATTGATACAAATCGTATAGACACAAGTAAACCCATTGACTTAGCTGCATTAATTAGAACAGGATTATATCATATTGCTCCTTCTGATAATCATTTTGGAGTAAATTTAACTGATGAAGGTGCTGATCTATTTAAATGTAAAATAAATATTGAAGTACAGTGGGCTACTGAAAATGTCATTGCTGCAATTGAGCGTAATGGAGGTGTGATCACAACTGCTTATTTTGATCCCCATTGCTTATATTCTATAATGAACCCTGAAAAGTTTTTCAAGAAAGGTGTTCCAATACCTAAAAGAATGCTGCCACCTCAGAATGCAATAGATTTCTATACATCTGCCAAAAATCGTGGTTACTTGGCAGATCCTGATGAAATAAGTAAAGAGAGGTTAGTGTTAGCCCAAAAGTATGGATATACTCTTCCAAAAATAGAAGATGATCCTGAATATGAAATGTTGACTATGAGAAAAGATCCTAGACAGATTTTCTATGGGTTGCATCCTGGTTGGGTGATAAATTTACAAGATAAATGTATCTTAAAACCTAAAGATGAATATTTGGAAGAATATTATAAATCTTAAACTTGTAATGTGGATAGTTAGTAATATATTATAGTTAATTACTTTAGTTACAATGTTGTTTACCAAATACTAATTTATTTTCCCTTCTTCACTTTCTTTTCCTTAACAGGTTTCTCAATAATTTTAACTAAATTTTCTAATTCTGCAATTCTTGCATTCTCGAGTTCTTTCCATTTATCATAATCTTCATTATAAAATATTCTATCTGTGCAAATGATGATAATTTCGTAGAATTCCAAAAAATTGATTTCATAATCGATATTCACAATTTCATCCTTGCAGATAATAGTTGGGCAAATTTCTGCACAGCAAATTAAAAGATCTTTCATATTCAAATCTTTTAGCAATTTTAAGTCAATCAGATCCAAGTTGCATAAAGGACCTTGATCGGTACTTTCTACACTGTTTTCCAAAATTGAATCAGGAGGTTCTGGAAAGATAGTGTCACTAATAATGATGGTTTGTGATGGAAAAATGAATATATATATATATATACATTATTTTAGTAAGTTATATATAACTTACTAGGATAGTAAATAACATCATCTCCCAAAATTCCTTGATAACCGAATTGGACTTGTTCACAACTTATTTCTATTGATTCTTCTTCAATGCCTTGTTTCTGAATCGTGTAAATTAGATTTCTTATTGTCAGGGGTTCTCCAAGTCTTTTATACATAGAATACATAGTGTGCAATGGAACTCTGTTTCGAAATTCCAACAAAGCATATCCTAAAAATAAATGAAGCATTAGCAGATCAAAAAGTTGAGGTATCCCTTTGAATATGTGAAGTATCTATCACATGAAACTTTTAATTTGTGAAAAACATTGATATGAACGAATTATAAACTAGTGGGTGCATGGCATCGTGTCTTAAGGCAAATTGCTGGAACTTCCCATACCGTAATTGAAAATCTTGGTACAGAACTCAAAAAAATTAACACAAAATGTGTACACATTACTAAAATCTCTATAAAATATCTGATAATTTGATGTACATATGTCCAATAAACATTTTTGACCGCAAAATGACATTTTTTTAACTTATTTTTATTGAGAGTCCATAACCGCTGGACCTGCCTTCCCAAAAATTCAATCGGTTGTTCATTTTGTCAATACAAGTAAAATGTTTTTTGAATTATTAAAATCTGTTCTCTTAAAAACTGAGTCACCATTTTTGGCACTTTTTGCCCCGTATCTTCGGAAGGGCTAGACCTGCCTTCGCCAAAAACTAATCAGCACGTCTCCTTATCAATACGAATCGAATGTTTTTTAAATTATTCAAATTGGTTGATCGGTGTTCCCGAAATCGTCGTCAAAAATTTGTATCCGCACTTACACACACAGACATGCATCCATTTTTTCTAAGGTATGCCAAAATATTCAAAAACTTTTGAAACAAAGATATATAAAAATTTTCATTTTCGATTTTTTGCGATTACTATAACTTAAAGTGTTACAAGTGTGATAAGAATAGAATGTATTAAGGGGGTCTTCCTATGTGATGAGTTGAAAAAATTGAATTTTTTTTTATTTCATATTTCGGTAGATTATACCTTTAAAAATAACATATTAAAATTTCAAATCGATATCACAAATAGTTTTTGAGTTACAGCCATTTAAAAAGTATACATATAGTATATAGTACAACGACCATTTTATCTTTAAACGCGTTTTTCTCAAAACTGTGTTTTTCAAACTTGTCTCCATTGTATCTCAGAAACGGCTGGACCGAATTACTTGAAATTTACAGGGCACATTCAATATATTTAAGCGCATGGAATGATCTATTATCAATCAAAAATTTCAAAACTTCGATTTTTTATAGCAAAAAAAAACAAAAAACTAGCTGTAAGTGGAATTCTGTCTTGAGGCAATTTTGGCATCGTGCCTTAAGGCAAATTGCTGGAACTTCCCGTACCGTAACGAAATGTTCGCGGAATACTGAATGTTTTCAAATAGATTATTATAAATATTGTAACATTGTCTAATATTTATAAGAATTACATACATTGAATTGCAAAGTTGAAATTATTTGTAAAGTATATTAGAACTATAGTCAGAATTAAAAATAAAATCTGAAATATTTTCGATATACAAAAAACTAAAAAAAAAAAAAAATTGGAACAAATTTTTTTTTTCAAAATCAATTATTTTGTTCAGACAAGCAGAAAGTTCTTTGAATCATTTAAATCGGACGCTTAGTTCTCTCAAAAACTGCCATTTTTTACATATTTAGCTCCGTATCTTCGAAATGGCTGGGCCTGCCTTTGCCAAAAACTAATAAACACTTCTCCCAATCATTACTAATTGAATGTTTTTTAGATCATTCAAATCGGATACTTCGTTCTCTCAAAAAATCGATTTCTATTTTCTGCACTCTTTGCTCCGTATCTCAGAAACGGCTGGACCTGCCTTTGCCAAAAACTAATCAGCTCTTTTCCTTATCAATAGGAATCGAATGTTTTTTGAACCATTCAAATCGGTTGATTCGTGCGCCCTAAAACGTGACTGGAAATTTGTATCCACACATACATACACACACACACACACATACACACACACACACACATCCATTTTTTCTGAGGTATGCCAAAACGTTCAGAAACCTTCAAAACGTCGAGAAATGTTAAAATTTTCAATTCCGATTTTCGGCCCATTACAATAACTTACCCTACGGGAAGTTAAAAAACGCCTAATTTGCAACTTTTATTTCAAATGTCTATAAAACATCCAATTTTTTTTGTATTCATTTGATTGTAGTTCATTCCGTGCTTTTAAGCCTACAAATTAAAACGCCGTTTATTTTTTTTTGGTTAGATAAGCCGATCAGCCGGAATCGTGGAGACAGTGGGAGCTCTTTTTTTTTGAAGGGGGGGTGTTTAGAGCGCTGTAACTCTAGTTGGACTAAATTTTTTTAGCTGAAATTTTATATTTATACTGTCCAAATATGTATTAATAAATGATAAAAAACTTGAAGCTCTAACTATTTACTGGTCGTAGAAAAAACATTCTAAAATATCCCTAAAAAACAGGCCGTCACATAGGAAGACCCCCTTAAATACATCTAAAAAGCTCTTATAATAACTAATAATTATATAAACATTATATTTATATTATTAATATGCCTAAGCAATTTTATAATACTATCCAAATGTAAGATAAATACCATTTCTATTTTCAATAGCCGGTGCTACATCATCCATTAGAAATGTATCGAAAGCAACTGCTAAAACTCCTTCCTTAAAATTATGTATGTTCATATATTTTCCATACAAACACCAACTTGCTTCCAATAAGCAATGCAAAAATTGGAAGAATTGCAGTTTTTCAAATGGGTTATGATCAGAAAGTAAACAACTGGATACATTGATTGAGAGATCACGATCTAATTGAATAAGATTGATACCTAGAAAATAAGTATTTAAATCATTCACAATTATACTGGTAACTACATATAGTATCTAATAGCAAATTTTTAAGTTTGTACCTCTCTTCGAAAGCCCACAATCTCTAAACAGTTGCCATAAAAATAGTCTCACTAGAACTGGCTCCGAGTTTAGAGGTAATTTGTCATTTATCCCAAGAGAAGCATAGAAATTATAAACTTTGCGCAATAGATGCATATGGTATATTATCATATTTCTCAAGTTGCATTCTTCAGACTCCCTCACAGCCGATGTGCAAAATCTATCTGCACACGATGAAGCAATTGTTTCTAAGTTATCTTTGTTTAATGTAGCAGTTATTTCGGGCGACTTCTGTATGCAATCTCCAATTTTTAAATTGAATATATTAGAATGGCTATCATAAAAAGGTGCGGTATGAAATGAGGTTGTGGGGCTATAATCCAGATTTACTATTCTGTTTGATTTAAATTTGCTTTGCTCTGGTGTGTTGTGCATTAAACGATTTAAGTGATATTCTAAGATGATATAATGGTCGGGCAAATAAAATGGCAAAGATCTGGAAAAAAAATGATAATAAGTAGTGAAAAAAATTGCATAAGAAAAATATAAGTTTATAAAATGTTTGTATATTGATTCGAATCTATACAGAAGAGTATACAAAAAATTAAGCTTATTTGTATGAGAGATGTTGATTTCATAGATTTTCACATAATATTCTTTAATTAAGGTACAACACATCAAATTTGATTTTATGAAAATTTTGCAAAATACTACATAGAAAAGTGTTCTTTGTTTAAGAATAAAATTTAATTAGAAGTGAAAAATAAGATTTAAATTAAATTTTTTATTCGTACACAAAAAGACAATTCTCTCATTATTTTAAATAATTTTCATAAAAACATTTATTTGAGCTTTATAAATATAAGTAGGGAGTATAAACAAAATATTCTGTGGTAATTTCAATAGATCATAAAAAAACATGATAATTTATAATTTATAATTTCATATAAAAACTACCTTGGTTTGAATTCATTATCGGAATACGAGGTTCTATTATAAAGTAATTGCTTTTCAACTTCTTGAATCATAGCTCTTTCTATTCTGCAAATCAAAGTCAAAGTAATAAGAAGTTTACATTTGAATGTTTACGAATATAAATTTGTTTACTTACTTTGAATAATCTGAATGCAGTAGTTTCTTTGAAAGAGACTTTTTAGGTTTTTGATTTTGACCTTTTGCTTTACTTTTTGTCGAAGGAGAAGACTGTCTTGATTTCGTTTTTGAAGCTTGAAGTTAGATTTAGAAAAAACTTATATTAACCTGCACACTATTTACATCACTTATAAGAAGTGCATATACCAATATATATATATATATATATATATATATATATATATATATATATATATTTACGTTTTGTAATAACTTTCTTCTTCAAACGATTATCATTTTCAGATATATCTTCATTTACATTCTTAGAGCCTTTGATCATTGCAGGGCGATTTTTATAATATAATTGTTCTGATTTTATGATCAAACCATTTTTGCAGACAATGAGACCAGTTCCATGTTTGATATCATCATGCCAACTTCCGTCATATAGACATCCATTAATCAAAGTTAAAGTTCCTAAATATATATAATCTCAAATTTAATCAACTATGTCCAAATTTGTTGTAATAACTTAATAACATAATATTAAATACCAAATCCATGTCGAAGATTTTCTTTCCAATTACCATAGTATAAATTTTGATTAAAGAAGCATATTTCAGGATATAAATAGGCTTCCCATATGTACTCGCCATAGCCATGCCTCAATCCATTTTTCCAATTTCCTATATATACCTAGATAACGAATATATAAAATATTTATTTGTCATGTTTATGAAATTAAGTATAATATTCTTTAAAATAATGAACATAATTATAATTCTTACATCATTATTCTCCCATACCATAGTTCCATTTCCATCTCTGATGCCGTTAATAAAATCTCCAGCATAAACTGAATTTGGATCATAATATCTTACCCCTTTGCCAGTGCGTACACTCTACAAATACAAAGTTGTTTCAGATATCATAAAATGAACAATATTTTTATAGGCAAGTACATTTTCAAATGTTCCCTCATACAATTGACTCCCTTGTTTCAAATAGCCTTTTCCTACGAGTTTACCTAGATTCCAAGTTCCCGACATGTATATTCTTGGTAGATCTGGTTCAGCTAAAGGAAATCATATGTTGAGAGAATATAGCAAAGAATTTAAATTTTATATGTTAAACGACTAAGTCAACTTCAATTCATAAAAAATAATTAAAAATATATAATATTATATTGCACACAACATATATCTTTGATAAAATATTTATTATAATAAATATATTTTATTAAAAATAAAGTAAACAACAAAACGTAATTAAAACGTTAATATAACATCGAACATAACGGTTACGTAACCTAGAAGGCATACAGACGTTTCTATTTCCGCCTCAAAAACGTAACGGGCTGTTATATAATTCTTATAAGACAATGTTCTTCATTTTAAATTCGAATGATTGAGTTCTGTTTATTTACTTTTCTGTAAACATATAAGTTACAGTGTTTATAATAATCTATTTAAAAAAATTCAATTCCTCGAATATTTCATTACGGTACGGAAAGTTTCAGCAATTTACCTTAAGGCCATACACCACTAGATCATTTTTTTCTTAATTAATTTAAATAAAAAATTATCAAAATCGTTGAGAAAACACAACTAAGGTCAGGATGTTTTGCTTAAAAAAATATGTATCATCAAAGTTGATGGTAAATATTTTGATTAGAGTTTTAATTACGTATTCAGTCTTTGCGTCGATATTACTCTTAAATATACATTATAATCATAGATAAGGATTATAATAAACACAATAAATTGCACGTAATATAAACGAATATTTCAAGATTTGCAACATTAAAAATTGTTCGATATAAAGAAAAATATGCAGTATTTATAAAGATAGGCTAAAATTAAAACGTTTAAATCTTTTCTCTTATACCGTTTCCGATAAAAATTATATCAGTAGCAATTAATTACTTATAAAAAAGTTTACCAGGTGGTCCCACAAAAAATCCATTTCCGTGTCGAAAACCCTGATAAACTTGACCTTCGTAATAGGACATATCAGACCAAGTGTACGATCCAAAGCCGTGTGGAAGATTGTCAAAAAATTCTCCCTAAAATAAATCTTAAGTCGCAATAATGAAATTACGCAATAGATGTATTCTATTTAAAATTACTTGATATATTGTTTCATTGCTCCATCTGTACAATCCTTTGCCTTCCATACCCTTTCTGGAAACTCGTCCAATATACATGCCACCATTTTTGAAAGTGATCGTACAATCTTCATCTGAAATAACAGGTTTCCAATCGGGTAAAGGTTCTAAAGACGACATATGAGATTGGGTAAGAGAATCCGGAAACACGTGTTGTGGCGCATCTTTTAAATCGTTATTTAGCGGCTCTTCGATCAAAGTTTCCAGCGGAGAGGTAACATCTTCCTTTGAAAAAAATTATAAAAAGTGCGATTAAAAAATGTTATGCAAAAGTACAAATTATAACTAGTTGAAAGTGGCATTTAGCCCTAAGGCAAGTTTCATGAACTTCCCGAAATGTGTAAGAATTGACTTAATCAATCGAAATAAAAATTTAGAGAGAAAAATTTTCAACAGTTTATTTCAAAAGTTATCGCTCTAAATTAAGTCTTAACATTACGATTTCGAATAGAATTTTCTCAAACACGTTTAAATTATCTGTAACTATATTAATTATATTGCACAGACACGTGCTTGTATGCCCTAAAATTGTAGCTTATTATTTTAAATTTTAATGAATTGACAATGTTTGACTCATCACATCACAAAAACTTTTGACACAAATTTTGACTATAATATTTTCACAAATTTTGATGAATTTCTAGCATTATAAACTATTTTATAATAGGCCGTAACATTTGAATATTTAACATAGTTTTATAAGACCATGATATCTATTGCCAAAATAAGATTCATAAAAATCGGCAATTTTTTTTTTCAACAGTTAATTTCAAGAAAACGACTCGGTAGATTTTTACCTAAAACTAATCAGTATCGTTCCCAACAAATAGCTTTCGAAAAGTTTTTGATTTTTGAAATCGATTCAGAATTGAGAGCTAAAACTGGACCAAACATTTTTCACTTTTCTGCTATTGACAAAGAAACGGCTCAGCCGAACGTTGCACAAAACTGATAAAAGATTGGCCTTTAAATTTTTGTTTTTAAGTAAACATCGATGAAAGTTCTAATTTTGACAAACGCCAAAAAACGATACTAAGTTTTGCACACTTTGACGAATTAAACGACTTGTCGTAGGGCCGTCTACCATCAAAAACAAATTCGTAAAAATCGTCAAAAAAAATTAAAACACACTTTAAAAAATACTTTATTCCAAGAAAACAGCTCGGCCGATCTTTACCAAAAAACTAATCAGCACGATTCCCAACCCAAATTTTTCGAACGGTGTTGAATTTTCAAAATCGATTCAGAATGCGGGCTAAAACGTAGACGAAATTTTTTTCACTTTTCTGCTATTTACAAATAAACAGCTTGGCTGGTCGTAGCGCAAAATTGATAAATGCTAGTCCTCATCGAGATACATCGAATGGCTTTTAAATTTTTAAAATCGGTCCAGCCGTTTTTGAAAAAACGTCGATTTTTGGCAAAAAATCTGCTCACATACACACATATTTTTTCCAAATTTAGTCTCATTCGGTTCAGAATGGCTCGAAACTTTGCTTTTTGATGAAAACAAACTTCTTCTTCAGGAAGTTAATAAATATAAAACAATTTATATTGTAGATAATGAAAAAAACTTATATCTTACCAAGTTTTGAGACAATATTTCCCTTTCAGTTCTCAAAATTTCAGAGCTGGTTTGGTAAGAAGACAAACTCGTCCGTTTGGAATCTTTTTTATTTTTTACTTCTAAAATATAAACATGAATATATTATATATTTCAGCAGATAATATATAATAATAAGCATTTACTTACTGATAGAAAAAATTAAACTTATTAAATATCATTACTCTGCCTCCATATTAATTAATATGAAAGCAGAGTAATAATATTATTTAATATGTTTAATTTTTTCATATGAATTTCTTAAGAAATTTATATGATCCATACAATTAATTTATTTTATCAGATAATTAATATCATATAAAATATATTTACTAATCCTAGATAATATAATTATAATAGATATTTATTACAGCCACATACCCTTCTTTTTTAATGATGATCTTCTGCTGCCTGCTGAAGTTTTAGATCCATTCTGACCACTTTCTCGACTCGATGAAAGAGAAGAACTCTTAACACTTGTGTCACAATAATTTGGAATTGGCTCAGGTTTCTTGAACTGTAATTTTATTATTTAAACTAAATTATTCAATATAACAGAATTATATGAAGAACGTTAAAATATTTTTCTAAAAACAATCTTGAGCAAGTTCTTGAGTAGTTCCGGACAGATTTATGCAAGATGTGTACTACATGTAGTATAGATTTACATTCATTAAAGTAAAGATATAAATTTAAATATATACTTATATCTCACTACTTAAAAATATACAAATAGTTCCATGTAAATATACACCCTGCTCGTAAACTTGTAGCATTTCTAAAGTTTCTGCTTTTATGGGTAATTTAGTAAGTATTTATTTATTTTTGCTCTAATAAACGTTGACCACCTTCTTCCCCCCAAAGAATTCGGAAAATATAGTTAATTTGAGCTATAAATACATAAATGATTTAAAATAAGGTTTTACTTACATATTTTACAGCAGATTTTTCATCCCATGTATCCACAATTATTTCTAGTAAATCATTATACATTGAGAGTATTAACTCATCATCAATACTAGGCTTTCTTCTTTCTTCTGCTAAATTTCTATCAGGAATGACATGAAAATCAACAGTGCTCTTTCGAAAGAAATCACTGTCACTTTTGTGTAAAGAAGCATGTGATAAACCTCGCACTTTTAGTAAATGGTTTTGATAAAACATATTTACGCGCGAAAAAGATTGGGCAGAATGTTCAGAACTCATTTTATCAAAAAATAGGTTTAATATGTAAAATTAAAAAGATAGTGTTTTGTTTGAAATATCTTTATTATCTAAAAACAAATACTTTATAAGTTCATGAACTTTTAACTTTTCTGAGTACAAATATTTCTAAATATTTAGACATTAGACTAGAGTGGATATTTTTGAAATAAATATTTTCCAAAAAACAATGTAAAACTATTGGGACATCAACTTCATTTTATCAATTCCACCAAATATTATTTAAAAAAATCTTTCAATATAAGTATATACGAGAGATTTATGAAAATTATGGATGTTCGAGAAATAGATTACCATGTATACATTTTCTTTTTGTATGTGATACATTACATATGGAACCGTGAGTTTATTTATTTATTTTTTTAAAATTAATTTTAGTTAAATTATTCAACATGATAAAAACTTTAATTTTCTGTAATGTGCAAATAAGTATGTATTAACAATATATTTAGAATTTACAAAAAAAGATGTTTACAGTGCAAAATCACAATAAAAATCATAAAAAAGAAGCATATTGTGAGTAATTTCAATATAGCACGCAAATGAAAGTTCTTTAAACAAAAATAGGCTTTGCTTTTATAAAAAATCACCAAATAAAACAAACAAAGACAAAACGCAAGCCAGAATTGTATTTTGTTTTTAAAATTTAAAGCGCTTTAAATACAAAACATTCTTCCCTTATCGTTTTCTTGGTCATATCAACAAATAGGTTAGACCAACTTGAGATTCTTATGGAAAAAATCACTGTACAATGTTTTGCAGATAATACATCATAAAGATATCAAATCACTTTGATATATCTTCATCGATATTTTTATCAATATGCAGGGTGAGACTGTAATTTCATCTTCCTGACAACTTGTCATTTAAGTCAGTTAAAAGATCTTCATTCATTCAATACAAATCGCAGTATTGTGATACAATTGCAATTTCATCTGGGTAAGGTGCATAGATCAATATGCAACAAAAGTAGTCAGAACAATATTCAAACTCTTTACATTCTCATCAAACCAAGTTATCTTTAATTATCTTTAGCCAATCATAAATATTTTTAAATCAAGATTCATGTAGCAATCTTTGATAATGAGGGAAAATTTCACTTGTTGGCACATGCAAACTAAATTCCAGTGCTACTAGTACTGCAAACTCAGATGCAATCAGGTCTTTATGATTTAAGCGAAATATATTTTCAGTTTTCTGAAAAATATTGACCTTTATGTAAATAATTCTTTACAATAATTTTATATGATAAAAAATTTGAATATATCATATCCAGTATCATCTAATACCAGTTTAAATGATCAATTTCTTTGTGAATATTCACCATTAAATGATGAAATATCAAAATTATGAGCCAAACAATTATTTATTATTTTTAAAATCTGAACAATTTGTAATAAAAAAAACTATAAGTACATACCTCAATAATGTCCTTTAATGCTTCTCCTTTCACATCATTTAATTTTGCTGATAACAGCATACAAGCACCAGCACAGAGTTTCCTGTTATCCTTTGTTATTAAGTTGGACAGTATTAATTTTTCAAAATAGACAAATGCTTGAGCTACGGTGAGTAGATCAACACCACTTTCATTGCGAGCTATAACTCTCATTTCTCTTTTAATACTGAAAATTGAATTGCAAAATAGTTATACAGTATATAATAGTTTACAGTATTTTAGAGATAATTATTATGAACTTTTATTATACCTTCTTAACTTGCTTAAAGTTAGTTGAATATGAGGAAATTTTTCTCGAAATTTATCATTCAATTCCTTTTTTAAATCTGATGGTCTAACATAATCAATCACAGATGTAATATAAGAAGTGAATGTTAAAAGAGTTCGGTGTTTTCCAGCTATTAGTTCCGGATCATCCAATAAGTTAGGTGAGTAATGCAACTTCTAAAAATGTATTATATAAAATTACAAGTTAAAATTTAATCCTTAACAAAATTGAAGAAAGATACAAAAATTTTACATTATTATTTCATTTAATATATAAATATATGCTTAAAATAAAAAGAAATCAAAGATTGTGAGATTTTTGCTGCACCATTAAGTGGTGAAATAATTATAATAAAAAATAAAAGCATATATACCGTAGTAGATTGCACAACAGGTTGTGGATCTTCCCACTCTACTTTGCTATCTCCGATATGTGAAGCGCTATGATTTAAGACAGGAGGTGGAGAAGCTTGACTTCTCAAATTTAGCTCATGTGTTATAAACCTAACAAGAAAAAAGTATCATAAATAGATAGATATTCAATTACCTTGCTTCAAACAATTTTCACACATCACACCTTGATCCTTGATGGCATTTCGGAATAGAAGTTCTTACACCATCAACGGTATCACACTCCACAGGTTGTTTCCTAGCAGTTTTTGTAGGAACCAATAATTTTCCGTATGACATTTCCTAAATAATTCAATTTTAGACTATTATTTAAATTTTGAAAAAGATATATGAATACATAAATTTTGTTTTAGAGCATTTTTGAGTTAAATATTAAGCAACATCACTGAAATGTAAGTATTTAAGATATAACTCTATTATATGATGTATGATTTAATAGTATTAACAAATAAGTATTGAACTTAATACCTGCCCATTTTCACCTTTCTCTATACCCAACAAATCAAAAGGATCCAAAGAAACATCATTAATGCTTGACAAAGGTCTCGTACCTGAAGTATTGCGACGTCTGCCTCCTTCTCTACGAATTTCAGGCCTTAAATAATTATATTTATAAGCACATAATATTTGATATAATAAAATTTCTAGTATAAAATATATAAAGTTAAAGATAATAATTATTGTTTCACCTTCCATTCCTTGCACCTTTATAATATGGCAGAGCAGAAAATATCATAAAAGGTATTTTATTTTGTGAGACCAAAACCATACGTCCTTCTCTAAATCTATGAGATTCATCAGCTTGTATAAATCTGACTTCTTTAGGCTTTGCTTCCAATAGTATATTTCTAGCTCGACCTAAAATAAATTTATTATTCGCATATTAGCATAAATTTCATAATTCAAATAAATAAGCATAAATCAAATTATAATTAATAAATAAATTAAATATACATTTTTCATTTGAATTCATTTTAATTGCAGTTTAAACCACCTGACCAGTCAAAAAATGCTATTATGATAATTGTGTGATCTCTTTGTTTTATCAAAAAATGTAATCAGATTTCCATTGCCCATATTTATTTAAGAAAAGATAAGAAGTTATCTTGGAATGATTTTACATGAAAAAAACTATTTACAAATAAGTGAGGGTTTACTAAATAGTCAGGTAATAATGCAGAATTTGACTTAAAAGTATTGTAACAAATATTATTCATTATTATTCAATAATCCATTATTATCAAGATGTAGTTTAATGCTGTTATATAATATGTATAATCGCTTAAATTATAATTAAAAAAATAGAGACAAATATTATTATATTAAATTATAATGGGTATACGTTACAATAAAAGAAAAACAATTCTAGTTATTGTCAAATAATTAGAAATGTATATTTACACACCATGACTTAAACTCTCTGTACTACTATTTGGCAAACCACGTTCTAATTCTGTTGCATGGGCATTCCTTCCTGCTAATATTTGCGAGAAACTTCCAGTATTCCTTCTTGAATTAGATGTAAGTATATGCTTACGCTCTGAAACACTGCTGGTTCTAGATAATAATTAAGATGCAACTTGTTAAAAAACTATACAAGACATAATTATCAGTATTATATATTAAAATATTTGAAGAAATTTATAGCATTTATAATCAATTAAGTAAAATTTCAGTAAAACATTGATAAATTACCAAATGTGGCATATATCAGTGAGATTTGCAATGCATTATCGTTATGTGATTTTTCTCACAAAAGAATAATACACAAATTTGATTAAAGCTACATAAATTTGGAAAATTTTGCTGGTTTGTCAAATATTATATAAAAAAGCATACTTTATAATAATTTAAGACTATCCATAGATATGAAAAAATAGGTAATAGTTATATTAAAGCAAAATACCTATCCCTGGCTGGAGTAGAGCAAGCAATTGATTTATCTAGCAAAGGTAATTTAGACGAAACTAAACCGCTTTCAGAATCAGAACTATAGGAACTCCTTCTGTCCAGATTTTTCCTATGCTTAGTGTTAATTTTTGGACTATGTTTCCTTACACAGTATGAATCATTGTTTTCATTATCGCTCGTTGTATTATTCCATTCAATATTTTTGTCCAACTGTTTGTTATTTTCTGTGTCTTCTGAATTAACATTTTTTGCAGCCAAATATTGACACTTTTTACCCAAGCTTGTGTCACGATAAGTTCCATCTAATGATATATTAGATAAAAAGGATTTTGCTGCAATACGCCTTCTAAAATGAGCTTTCTTATAAGAGCAGGCCATGTTAGTATATTTATTATATAACTTATGAAATAATAAAAATCATTTTGTTTTCTTATATATGTTATTTATATAACATATCATTTTAAATTTATATATTTAATGTTATAAGGAGGCATTAAATCAAGCTAAGACTTTGACACTTGCGCACAATTCAGCCAGCATGAAGTTGCCGGCGAAGACAGATATCAAGCTGTCAAGCATTTCAGATGTCAAGAGCGCGTCGACCATTTTGTTCATTTTTATAACAGCGTTGCGTCGGAGTATTGTTTTTTTTATCAAGTACGCTTGTTTCATATTTAATATTAATATTTTTTAGCTTTTCGTTATGATTCATTTCTTTGTGTTTATTTTTTAATGTCCGTTCAAGTTTATTCGCTTTGGCTTCTTGATTACGCGCCTATTTAGTTCTTATTTTAATTTTAGGGTTATGTTTTAGGATTCTTTTCATTCAAAGATCATTTTAGTCTAGCTTAGATTTTATACAATGTTTTAGTTATAATTGTGTTTTAAAAAATTATTTTTACGCTTACGTTTTACGCATAGGGTTACATTTTATCATACAGTTACATATTTATAGGGTTTGGTTACGATCTTAACCTCAATTCAGTGGAAGCTAACTGAAACTCAAAAAAACAAATAGAAGGTTCAGTAAATGAAATAAAATTGAAACACTTTTGATGTTATAATACTAAATCGAAATACTTCATGTCTTGGAATTGACATATATATTTCGTTTTTTCTGCAATATTTGCTATGAGGGAACAAGATATATTGTATTTTAACGTAATATATTGTCTAAGGTAAAGGCTATCATCTTGGTATGAGACAATATAATAATCATAATAATAATAATACTTGTTTGGCTGTGATAATAATGATGTTGACAGGTTTTAGCTGTCAAAGTTATGAATCCAATACATTTCAACTTGACTGCTAACTTCTATTTCGTCGCCAACTTCATGCTGGCTGAAATGTGCAAATGTCAAAATTCTTAGCCTGATTTAAGGTGGTGTAATGTTATACGCGAGTTGCACATTTTCTTACAAGTCGTTCCATTGGTATTGCTTTTTTGACATTTTCTGTCACATTAGTTAGACGTACCTCTCGAATACTACTTACTCAATATTCTTTACAGAAGTATTATTATATATGTTTACCTTCAACCCAGGAAAACGCGCTCAAAGAACGAACAACACTTGTGGTGTATGGCCTCGTGCCTTGAGGCAAATTGCTGGAACTTCCCATGTTTTCAAATAGATTATTATGAATATTGTAACGTTTTCTAAAATTTATAAGAATTATATAATCTAAATTACAAAGTTAAAATTATTAATTTAAATTTAATTCGATACACAAAAAAAAATCTAAACAAATTTTTTTTTGAAAAAAAAATTAGACCAAAAAAAATTTTTTTTTCAAAAGCAATTATTTTGTCAAAACAAGCAAAAAGTTTTTTGGAACATTCAAATTAGATGCTTAAATAAAACTGCCAATTTTTGTCCATTTTGCTCCGTATCTCCAAAACGGCTGGACCGGCCTTTATCAAAAACTAATAACCACTTCCCCATCATTACGAATTGAATGTTTCTTGAATCATTTAAATCGGATAGTCCGTCTCTCAAAAACTCGATTTTTATTGTCTGCACTCTTTGCTCCGTATCTCCAAAACGGCTGGGCATGTCTTTGCCAAAAACTTATCAGCACATTTCCCCATCAATAGGAATCAAATGTTTTTTTAACCATTCAAATCAATTGATCCGTGCGCCCGAAAACGTAGACGAAAAAATGCCGACACACATCCATTTTTTCTGAGGTATGCAAAAATGTTCAGAAACCTTTGAAAAGTGAAGATATGCAAAAAATTTCTTTCTCGATTTTTGGCCCATTACTATAACTTACCTTACGGGAAGTTAAAAATAGTGAAGACTGAAGATATGGACTAAACATAATAAATAAAAATTGAAAATTCTAAATTCTAAATATTATGATAGTAGTGGAACTCATATTGGCTACTTGCCTAAAATAATTGTTAAAATTATCCTACACTTTTTCACAAATCATCTTAATTGCAATATATGATATCTATGTCTAGTATAAGCAATAATTTATAGCTAGAGTTTTAATCTAAAACTAGAAATGATATTTTTCGTTATCTAGAAATAATTTAAAAGTTATAACTTTATTTATCACATAAGTCAGATAATGAATATTCATTTATCCTAGACAATATTAGAATATAATTTATTCATATTGATATTATATTCTCATATTGTATAGTGGCGGAAAAATTGACCCCATATCAACTCATGCTTCTTTTATCTATGAACTCATGTTTCAGAAAATACCCGACATTATTAATAGATTATTTCGTAATTTAAATTTAATTTAATTCAATAAATATTAACTCTGAAAATCGAAAATGAAAATTTTTGCATTTCTTCATGTTTCAGAGGTTTCTGAACATTTTGGCATACCTCAGAACAAAATGATGTGTGTGTGCATGTGTGAGCGTGTTTTCAGGCGTACGGATTAACCGATTTGGATGGTTCAGGTTCAAAAAACATTCGATTCCTATTGATAGGGAGATGTGCTGATTAGTTTTTGACAAAGACAGGTTCAGCCGTTACGGAGATACGAAGCAAAGAGTGCAAAAAAAAGAAATTAAGTTTTTGAGAGTACAGAGTATCCAATTTCAATGATCCCAAAAACATTTAGTTAGTAATGATTAAGAGAAGATTAGTCAAAGGCAGCTCCAGCCATTTCAAAGATAATGAGCTAGATGTACAAAAAATGGCCGTTTTCTGAGAGAACTAAGCATTCGATTTGAATGATCCTCTTATGTTGACAAAACAAACGCTTTTGAAAAAAAAATAGTTTAATTTTTTATTAAAAAAATTTTTTTTTTGATATATCGAAAATAAATCAGATTTTAATTTTAATTCTGGCTACAGCTGTAAACCTCACTTATATACTTTAAATAAATGATTTTAACTTTGCAACTCAGTTTATATAATTCTTATAAATAATAGACAATGTTACAGTATTTATTCTAATAGATTGGAAAACATTTAATATTCCTAGAACATTTCGTTACGGTACAGGAAGTTCCAGCAATTTGCCTTGAGGCACGATGCCATACACCACTAGTTTTATTTTTAAATCATCACTGCATGTAAGTCTAGTTCACAGATGTGCTTTATGTAAAAAAAATATTTCAAAAAGAAGTGCAGTCAGTGCAGTTATTCTCTTTGAGTTTTGAGTAAATTGATTTTGAGATCTCATACTATGTTTATTTTTATTTATATTTATAACCTACAAAAATATTTGGATTATTATCAAGAAGTCAAAAACTCTAATTTATAATATTAAATTTTTTTTTAGTAAATAATTATAGTGGATAAATAAATAACAGTTAATCTAAGAATATAAGATCCCAACAAAAAATATATAAAAGTTATTATGTTTCTATTAATTAATATGATACGCATAAACAACGATTGATAAAATGAACTAGCTAAAACAATTAATTTTACTATGGTTCTAAAAGTTATAAATAAATAATGCATTGGATATTAAAATATGGCAGCTTCAAAAATGTATGTTGGTTTCCTCATATTATGCTCAGCTATAATTCTTGTTGTTTATTTACAAACGCAAATAACAAGTTTATCACAGAAGAATGATCATTTAGGTATGTTTTAAATTAAAGTGATTTATAAAATAATTTTTCAATATACTGCAATAACACTACATCATTTTAGAGAGACTGGTTCAGAATTTACAACAGACGTCAGCTCAAAATGTAATTGCAGCCAATCAGAATGTTAATAACATTAATAAAGCAGATGATATTATAGTTATATATAACAGAGTCCCAAAAACAGGATCGACAAGTTTTGTTGGTGTAGCATATGATCTATGTAAACGGAATGATTTTCGAGTTTTGCATATTAATGTAACCGCTAATATGCATGTAATGTCATTAGAAAATCAGTATAAATTTGCCCATAATGTTTCAAAATGGAACAAGTTGAAGCCAGCTTTTTATCATGGACACATAGCCTATTTGGATTTCTCGAGGTACAGTTCAATATTTCCTCTGTTCTTCAACTAAGCTTTAGATTCCAGTCATAACCATTAAGAACATTACAGTTTGTGTATTACATTTTTCATAATAATGAATTTGGATTTCAGATTAGGAGGTCCTTCCAGTCCATTGTTCATAAACTTACTAAGGAAACCCTTAGATAGATTAGTTTCATATTATTATTTTTTGCGCAATGGTGATAATTTTCGTCCATATCTAATGAGGAAGAAACATGGGAATAAAATGGTATGTAACTACAATTATTCAAATATTAAATTTTTTGAAACTAAATTGACGTATACCTATTGCATTCTAATGTTGTTAGAAATTTGCCAAGTCATATTTGATTATAAGTAAATAGTTAGGTGCAGCCTAACTAAAAATACTAAAAAATAGATCCAATAATTATACTTTTGATTTATGCTACGATTTTTGAATGCATATGCATATATTTGTTGAGTCATATTTCAAAAAATGCACAACTCAATGTACTTGCTTTTGTATCCTAGTTAATGTTATTATAATGTTACATAATTATGAAGTTAATTAACGATAATTTATAAATTATCAATTTAAAAAAAGGTGCTAATAAATTCACTTTTGAGGAAGTATATATGGTACAAAGATTAAGACTCTGAAATTAGAATAGAAATATAAATTAAATTTTTAACTCACTCATTGTCTTGTTTTTTGTTTAATACTGTGGTTAATAATTACTTGAATTATTTGTAGACATTTGACGAGTGTGTAGAGTTAAAACAACCAGATTGTGATCCAAATAATATGTGGTTACAAATACCATTTCTTTGTGGTCATGCCGCAGAATGTTGGGAACCGGGCAGTAGGTGGGCTTTAGAAGAAGCTAAAAGAAATTTGATCAATAATTATTTTTTGGTTGGATTGACGGAACAATTAGAAGACTTCATTAGAATTTTAGAAAATTCTTTACCCAGGTCTGATTAAACAAAATACTAAAACACTATTATACATCTTTTATATTAGATTTATGATATATATACTTGTGTGCATTTATCAATCAATATTTTGTTTAGTTTCTTAGGAATCAATTCAGTCAAACCTCATATTAATATTTATTTATTTAATTTATTTAATATTACAATCATTTGATACTCAACATTCTATTCTCCAGGATATTCAAAGGCGCAACAGAATATTACCAAACGAGCAATAAGTCACATTTAAGGCAAACAGTCGCAAAACTTGAACCTATGGAAAAAACTGTAGCGGCAATAAAGAAATCTGCAATATGGCAAATGGAAAATGATTTGTATCAATTTGCTGCAAATCATTTTGCACATGTGAAGAAGAAATTTTTAACACCGAATGGTCTCCCTCAAACTTTTTTCTATGAAAAAATTAGACCAAAATCATTTTTAACATGAAGTTTATAAAATAATTTGGAAATATTATATCTAAATGTGCCATAAATTAAAATTTTGTATTTAAAATGAATAAGTTAAGAGTTTATAATTGATAAGATTGATATATGTTTATTAGAATATATTTTAGATAATTTATATCATGTGAATATTAACAGTTGTAGTTTAAAAAATTCAAATTAGTTTATTATTGTAACTAAAATAAACTTAGAAGCTAAAATAATTTAATAACAAAATTATTTTATCTAAATATTGTAAGAATCACTTTGAATATTCACGGCAATGACTTAACATGGTCTTTTTAAGTCTATAAAGCCAAACTAATAAAATTACATGTGAGATGTGTAAATGTGGTGTCGCATATGAATATTATGCAATTTGATTCAGACTAAGGCATTTACTTGGTGGTTTATAAAATAGCATTCAAACACAAGAACTGTAGATGGATTTATTTTATAGTAATTTTTTTTCACATGCTTCAACTAAAATATATTTATACATGAAAACATGTTGAATACTATAATAATGTGAACAAATTTCATTACATTACAGAAAGAAAAAACCAAAGTGAAGATAATCATGTCCCATGACCTCAGATTTTATTTAGAATTACTTAAAAAAAGTGACTTAAAAAAACTTTTCTAATTGTAAGATCAATCTCCCTTGGAATTGATAAAGAAATAAAGAAGTAATTGTAAAGTGAAGTTTTTAATTACATTTTTTATTTATTAACTTTTCGTAGGGTAAGTTATAGTAATCGCAAAATAATCGATTCGTATTGATAAGGAGACGTGCTGATTAGTTTTTGGCAGAGGCAGGTCTAACCGTTCCGAAGATACGGGGCAAAAAGTGCAAAAAACTGTAACTCAGTTTTTAAGAGAACGAAGCATCCGATTTTAATAATTAAAAAAACATTTTACTTGTATTGACAAGATGAAGAACTGATAAAATTTTTGGGTAGCCAGGTCTAGCGGTTTCGGAGATCTAGTAAAAAAAGTAAAAAAAAAAATTGGCGGTCAAAAATGATCATTAGACATATGCACATCAAATTATCAGATATTTTATAGAGATTTTAATAATGTGTATCAATTTTATTTATATTTCTATGGGTTCCGTAACATATGTTTGTCCGTAAAACGGCGACGCGGCGCTTGCGCGCTTCTATAGTTCGTCTCGCAGTGTCGCAGTTCGTAAAGCAGTGCGAAAGCTTTGAAAAAAAGTCCATAATTTCCAAAATATTTCAAAATAAAAAAAAAACATTTTTTCTAAGTTTTTTTTCCAAAAAAATTGAAAATTTCTCAAAAACCAATTTTTTTCAAAGTTAAAAAAAAAATTGGTACGATAAGTTCCAGAAATTTGCTTTGAGGCACGATGCCATACACCATTGGTTAAATTATCGTTTTATGACCATTGTGTTGAAATATTCTTATAAGTGAAAAACTACTAAATTTTTTAAATAATAAACCATCACCTGGTAGGTTTTAGTCTTGCACATCAACCAGGATTTTGGAAATGCAAAAAAATACTTGTTACTATAAGCTTCAATTTTTTTTGCAATTTTATTTATTCATTGAGAAGCTCAAAAATCAAATTGCGAGGCGTTTTCAACCTGCACTTCAAGTATCGGTCAGGCGAGCCGAAAAGTTCACTTTTATGAGCAAGATGTATATGCTGGTATTAAAACAAACTATGTCCTAAGAAGTTAAAATTGGTGTATGTGTTTTTCTAAGCGATTTATAAAAGGTGTGTGCAATTCCAGGCGATCCTGTCCAGCCTAAGCCCTTATCAGGCCCTGATGGGAATGATGCTATGGCGAGAGTGCAAGTAATCTAATAGGCGTAACGTAAAATCTTTATATTGTATATATAAATTATATTATGTAACAATTGAAAAATGAAATTATGGTAAAAATTGAAAAATGAAATTATGGTCAAAATTGATTTATTTATAACCTACAAAACTTGACATTAAAATAACTTTTTGAATTAATATTCATTCATTCAAAATTGTATAGGCAATTGCTTATCAGTATACTGATAAGTAAATAAATACATATGTATTTATTTACTTAATTATATGTTTGTTTCTATTTACACAATGGCTTGAGCCAATTACGCTAAACAATTGTTATGAAGTTTATAGTATAGTGTCGTATTGTTTCTACATATTTACTTGGCAATAAAAAATAAAATTTTCTCAAACTATTGAAACCATATATCCTCTATTTAAATGTATAAAATACCATTCTAATTCAAGTAGATTGTAGGAAGTATATTTAGAATTTACACATACCCGGAAGTTATTGAAACTTCTTGAGTTCGAAAACTTCATTTACACTTAGTTTTTATTTTTCGATATATTTTTAAATTAATTCAATAAAATGTTTTTTGTTATTGTCCAAGATGCATAGTTTCCATAGTGTTGAAATCACTATTATAGAGTATTAGGTAATATTTACTTATATCTATTATATCAACAATGTGAAATTTCCATATTGCATCATATTTATTATATGGTACGTACTAGTTCATAAAACAGTTTCATAGTTGTATATTGCAATATGCAAAAATTGCGATTGGTAATTTGTTGGTTTGTGTTACATGCGTTAATCGGTGTAGATGGCCGTTATGGGAGATACAAAAGATCAAAAGCACCATTTTTGAAAATAGAACAATGCAGAGACTCAGCAAGTATTGGCAATAAATATTTATAATTTTATTATAACTAGTTAAAATTTTATTATATTAATTTATTAATAAGTTAGATCATGTTCTCGAAGCAAAAAGTTTTTATTTCGACGTTGAAACATACTTCTGGGATTGTTTCAGCCAAAATGTCAAAATGAAAAGCAATAAACACGTAAATAATTTATTTTTTGTACGTGGTAACAAGCTCCAAAATATTTTACAATTTAAACATTATACAAACTAGTTGGTATTGGTATTTTGCCTTGAGGCAAGTTACATGAACTTCCCGATATGTGTAAATAATCGACTTAATCAATAAAAAATAATTTAATTTATGAGTGATTAAAAGTTATTACACACAATTGAAAACAAACGAACACTTTAACTCTGAGTATTTTTTAAAAGCAAATTTTCAAAAATCAACAATTTTTATAATTGAACCTGTTTCCGTAGGACTTTAAAAGTTTAGTATGTTCATTAAGATCAAATACTTTATCGTTATACTAAGTAAATCGTCTAATTTTAATTTTAACAAACGCCAAATAAAACTACTCATTTTCTCAAACTTTGATGAATTTTTAAAACTAAACTACTTGTCGTAAGGCCGTAATATTTCAATAAGTTCTATAAGACCATGATATATATCGTCAAAAAAAGTTCTATAAAAGTCAGCTTAATTTTTTTTTCAACAGTTACTTAATTACAAGAAAACGGCCCGGTAGATTTCCACCTAAAACTTATCATTCAGTATCATTCCAAACTAATATCTTTCGAACAGTTTTGTGATTTTTTGAAAGCGATTCGGTAGTATGGGCTTAAATGTGAACGAAAAGTTTAACACTTTTTAGTAAATTACAAAAAAATGCCTTGGTTAATCGTCGCACAAAACTGACAAACGATAGTCCTCATTGTGATACATCAAATGGCTTTTATACTTCTGAAATCGGTTCAGGAGTTTTGAGCCAACGTCGATGGTCTAATTTTGACAAATGCCAAAAAAAACAATACTAATTTTTGCAAACTTTGAAGAATTTTTAAAATTAAACGACTTGTCGTAGGGTCGTAATATTTTAGATTGATTCATAAGACTATGGTTATCTACCGCCAAAAAATAATCATAAAATCGTCGAAAAAAAATTTTTAACGCATTAACTTAGTATTAAATTAGTATCCTATATTTTTTATTTTTGAGTATATATGTTTTTGTTCACAATTGTGTGTTAATATATTTATTATATTTTTGTGAAGTGTTTAAAACATGCAACTTTTTAGATCTTGCTGAATGATAAGTCATACAGTGTTGAAATGTACAAAATAAACAATACTAGTATTTATTGCGACAATTTGACTGAAAAAACTATCACCTCATTTACCTTAAAAAAATTCGCTTCTGATTCGCACAAAGCCAAACTTAAATGCAGCATTTTACCAGTTTCATTACAAATATGTGTGGGCGTAAAATTTCAGATTTTCAGCCAAAAAATCTACTTGATTTGTTATAAATTTTCAAATTTGTATATATTATTTTACGCATTACAAGATCTGATTCACTAGAGTTTTTGAAGCTTATTGTATCCAACAAATGCCATAACACTATCAGCTAATAGTCTTTTTTACACCTTATATATGCTTGGTTTAAATTATTCAATATTTATTGAATAAATCACTAAAATTTTATTATTTAGGAGCAAAGCTGAAGAAAGGAGAATGGAATCTATTAATTTTACATAATAATGATATGCATTCAAGATTTGTGGAAACAGACGCTAAACAAAATGAGTGTCCAGACGAAATTAAGGCAGAGAACAAATGCTATGGAGGAATGGCAAGAGTTGCGACAGTGTAAGCAATATTTCTATTTTATAATATCGATTTTTTTTTTTAAATTATGTACATTTCATGTACATAGATATATACATTAGGGCGGGTCGATTTGTATGGGTAAAAAAAAAATCGCATACTTTTTGGGTCATCAGAATTCATTTTAGGGTATGGTTTCTTCAGCAAAGTATTCTTATCTTAAATCTAGTATCCGAAAATCATATGCGCCTAAGGACTTTTAAATCGACCCGCCATAATATACATTTCTCAGTTCTTAATAACTATTATCATGTTATCTGTTGAACTTCATTTAATGTTGCATTAAAATATCAAAAAGGTATTAATTGTTGACACGGATGTGATAGATTTCAATTCTGTAGTATAAATCTAAAGATTTATAATATTTCTATTCTATTTTAGGGTAAGGCGCGCAAGAAAAGATGCAAAAGAGGTGGTCCACCAGTTTTGTATTTAATGCTGGTGACACATTTGCTGGGTCACCTTGGTTCATGGTGCATAAAGCACCATTAGTTGCATTAAGTATGAATCTCCTCCGGCCAGATGCTGCGGTAAAACTATAATTTAGATATTATAATAAAAATAAAATATTAATTAATATTCAGAATAAATTTAATTACTTCAGAGTCTCGGAAATCATGAATTTGATTTGGGTGCAAAAGGTTTAGAAACATATTTAAATTTAACTTATGGATATCCGGTAGTTGCTGCTAATATCGACGTTTCTGAAGAACCTGGATTATTAAAGCAAAGATCTTTAAAGAGATCTGTGGTATATAGGGTAAATGGACGTTTAATTGGAATTATAGGATATGTATTACCTGATACTAAACTAATGGCGATTGCGAATAATATAACATTTAACGATGAAATTAAAACAATTAAAAGAGAAGCTGGAATACTGAAAAGAGGAGGTGTCAAAATATTGATAGCCTTGGGCCATTCTGGTCATAACATGGACAAAAAAATTGCTGCAGAAGTCAAAGACATTGACATCGTTGTTGGTGGTCATTCAAACACATTTCTTTGGAATGGTAAAGAACCTGACAGTGAGCAACCAAAAGGTGAATATCCTGTACAAGTTAAGCAAATGTATCAAGTAAAGTTGTACCAGTAGTTCAAGCATATGCACATACTAAATATATTGGAAGATTATGGTAACGTTCAGTAAATGTGGTAAAGTTATCAGAAGTTGCGGACAACCTCTGTTGCTAGATAATAAAATACCACAGGCTTTGATGTGGTTGAATTTATGAAAATTATAAAGGTCCTGTAGACAAATTAGTAATCAGTTGTGGTTATAGTATTCCTTTACTAGTAAATGGATGCAGGCAAAAGAGTGCGACATAGGAAAATAGTAACGCAAGCTATGTTACAAGCTGCTTATAAATATTTAGGAATAAATAGTATGATAGAAATTGATAATAATCATAAACCAAAAAGAATAAAACATTTGATTTAATTGTTCTACAAAATGCTGGAGGAATCAGATCCAATCTGATGCCATATGAAAACAGTACAGTTATTTATGGAATGTTAATGTCGGTGATGCCTTATGAGAGTACTTTATTTAAGTGTGAAATAACAGGCAAACAATTAAAAGCAATGCTAGAATGGGTTGTAACTAGGTTAGTACCATTGTATTATACACAGAGACTAATATAATTAATTTGCTTACATAAACGAATACGGAATTGAATTCTATTTATCGATTAATTGCAGATACACAGTGAACAATGAGCGAGGTGAATTTCCACAGTGGCAAATATAAATGTTACATACGATCTTACCAAAAGATAATGGCAGTCGTGTTATTGATTTAAA